GTATCTTTATTGTTGAAACCTTTCTCCTACACAGTAGACATCTTCAGTCAAATACAGAGGCAACAGGTGTAGTAGTGAAATGAAGACATCCGACTGTTGCACATGCCTTAATCAACTTATTGACCCTTGTAGGTTTAGTGCTTTTTATAATAATAATAATAATAATAATAATAATAATAATAATAATAATAATAATAATAATAATAATGATAATAATAATAATAATAATAATAATAATAATAATAATAATAATAATAATAATAATAATAATAATAATAATAATAATAATAATAATAATAATAAATAATAATAATAATAATAATAATAAAATAATAATAATAATAATAATAATAATAAAATAAATAACAATAATAATATAATATATAATAATAATAATAATAATAATAATAATAATAATAATAATAATAATAATAATAATAATAATAATAATAATAATAATATAATAATAATAATAATAATCAACTTACCTAACCTACCTGAAACCACTGCTTGGCAAAACTCTTTCACAATAATGCTACCTAATTGTTGCAGCAGCCTCATCACCTCCCCTCGGAGGTTCCTTGATGCTGGTGAGGGGCTCTTGATCTAGGGAATTAGATCTGTGCTCCATTTCCTTGAATTAAACCTGAATGCTTCCATCCCTCCCCCACGGAAAGGCGCTGTATAATCCCTACCGGTTTAGCGCTCCCCCCATGGCTGCTCTGTGGCCTGGTGACTAAAGTTCTCACTTCACACGGCGAGGATCCAAGTTCGATTCCCAGTGAGGGTAGAAACATTGGGCGTGTTTCTTTACACCGGTTGTCTATGTTCACCCATCAGTAAAACGGGTACCTGGGTGTTAGTGGACTGGTGTGGGTCGCATCCTGGGACAAAATGACCTAATTTGCCCTAAATGCTCAGCATAACAAGAGGCTTTCTATATAGTAATATGTCACTGCTGTCAGCTAGGACTGTATACCTTGTACATGTATTTGTAGCAAATAAAGGTATTATTATTATTATTATTATTATTATTATTATTAACCTTATTGCATTCCCCAGGCGTTGAGTGACTTACGGTTTTGGAACTTTCCCGTGAACAAATTAACAATCCACAGAATGCGCTGCAAAACCTTACATCATGCACAAGTTCACTCTCCTCTTTAGTATGCACCACTTCCTTCGATTACCCGCCCCCCATCCCAGCACCCATTTTTGGAGGACCGATTACTCAGGAGGCAGTAAGGCAGATATCCTCAGGCTAGTGCACGTACCAATAAGTTTTATGGAGTTGCACTACTAACACTGAGACAGCGGTCCTTAACTGGAGTTTACCTGGAGAGAGTTCCGGGGGTCAACGCCCCCGCGGCCCGGTCTGTGACCAGGCCTCCTGGTGGATCAGAGCCTGATCAACCAGGCTGTTGCTGCTGGCTGCACGCAAACCAACGTACGAGCCACAGCCCGGCTGGTGTGTGCCAAGAAGTTTTATGGGGTACACGACACTGCCAATCCTTCTTTCAAATCATACGAAATATGAAAAAGTTGTCAGATGCCAATGAATTTCGGTTATAATAATAATAATAATAATAATAATAATAATAATAATAATAATAATAATAATAATAATAATAATAATAATAATAATCTTTATTTTTACATGTACAACGTACACAAACCTAGTTGATATCAATGACATACTACTATATAGAAAGTCCCTAGTTAAGCAGAGCATTTCGGACAAATGAGGTAAATTTTTGTCCCCAGAATGCGACTCACACTAGTCGACTAACATCCTGGTTCCTATTTTACTGCTAGGTGAACATGAACAGCAGGTTCCTTAAAGAAATACGGCCTAATGCTTCCACCCGTACCGGCGATCGAACCACAGACCTCAATGTGTGTGAGCTGATTGTGCTAGCAGTCGAACTGCTAGGGCAACGTTTACAAGAGAAAGTATGCTAGATGCTAGGCAGTTAAACCATGCTAGGACCTATTTTACAAGAATCTATTAACATCAACATCCTGTAGCTTTCTAGTGTCCTCGTCAGAAATCATCTGATGACCTTTCTTAATTTCATTGGCAAACTTATTATGTAGCTACTTATTCCCTCATTTATGTCGCTTATGAAGATGTAAACCAGGAGGGTCCCAACGCTGACCCTTGTGGTACACCAGTGGTAATGGGTTCCCATTAAGATTTCTTCCCATTACTGTAAGCTCTGTTGCCTATATCGGTCAATTATAACTTAAACCAGGAGATAATTTCTCCTTATATATCATTTCTCCCTACTTCATCATATTTTTGACTGAAGTCCATATATACAATATCGTATTCTTTATCTTGGTGTACTGTTAGTGATAAAGGTTCGTAAGCCACCTTGTATCTTTCAAGGTGGCTCCGACGTGCATCAGCAATTGTTAATTCCATCAGCTTTCTCACAATTGAGGTTAATTTGATGGTCTGTAATTTGAAGGTAAAGACCTATCTCCCGCCTTGTAAATGGGTATGACATTTGTCATTTTCCACTTGACTGGTACAATACTCAGTTTAAGTGATGCGCCGAAGAGACTAGCTAATGATTTCCTAAGTTCCTCTTCACATTCCTTTAAAACCCTTGAAAACAACTCCTCAAAGATCGATGCCCCGGCATGTACTTAGCAAATCAAAATTGTAATTACACATTGTAAACTATGCGAAGAAATAAAATCCTTAATGAATTTGTCTGGTTTAAGTCTATAAAGTTGTTTGAAGATCATCTCACTAGTAAACCTGATCCAGTATTAATTTATTTTCATTTTCACCAGTTTAATTATTAATTCCCAGGATTTCATCTGTATCCTCTTGTGAAACAACAGAGAAGAAATGCAGTATGTGTTAAAATGGTACGCATTTCATTGTTACTATCAGTCAGCTGACCTAAGTTACATTTAAGTGGGCCTATCTTTCCCTAATCCTATTCTTATATACATGAAAGAAGCCCTTTGGATTGGTCTTTGAGTCCCTCACAACCTTAATGTCATGTTCTCTTTGCGCTTCCTTTTTTTCACTTCTCTCTTAAACTGAACATATCGGTCAATATAAAAAAAAATATCGGTTAATGACACTTTCTTCTTATGATTCGCTTGTAAATACCTCATTTTCTTCACCTATGAATTATTTTACTCTATTCAGCATCCATACAGGGTCATTCAAATTCGCTCTGATTTGTAACTTGCTCAGCTATCAAAACTTTGGAGTCCAGTCCCTGGACCCATTATGTACCTCTGTAATCTTTTGACTACCGCCCACAGGATGGGTATGGGGTGCATAACAAACATATTAAACTAACTAACTGTATTATGCTTAGAAAAGAATCATACTGACATCCATCATCACTTTCTATTCGGGCTCCCTCATGATACTTCCTAGATTATCCCAGTCCTCAGTGTGATTTTTGGGAAGCTTGACCTTGTTATCTGTTACTGAAATTAAGTGATTTGTGATCGCTTTCTTCTAGCTCTTCACTTAGCCTCAAGATCACTTATCAGAGATTTCTTGTTTACCAGAAACTAGTCAAGCAGGTTATTTCCTCTAGTTGCTTCTGACATAAGCTGTTTTAAAAAGTAGTCCTGTACTATTTCTAGAAATCTGCTTAATTTTAGATTTCCTGTGAAATTCTCCCAATCAATTTGGCTAAAGTTAAAATCCATTAAAACTGTTTCGTATCTATTTCGACCCATAGAACTTTACGGTAGTCACTGTCTAGATTCGTGGGATCTGTACACCTAAGATTAGTTTCTCAAGTCCTTTAAGGAACTTCAGTATTGTTTCTGATATAACCTTAATTTTCCCGACATACATAGCAACTCTACCCGCTTTCCTGTTGACTCTATCAGTGTGGGAATCATTTATATGCGTGTGTGGCAGTCAGTAAGCATAGCCCTAGTTTTCAGACTGTACCAGGTTTCTCTTACTGCAACAATATCTATTTTCGCCACATTTAATTATTATTAGTTCGTCTGTTTTATTTCTTGCACTCTGGCTATTTGTATAGTAGATGCTGAGGAACTTTTCGCCTTGCTGCACTCCTGTCTCTGTAAATATACACTCCTACAACACCAATATTAATTACTGTGTAGTGATATACACTCCCACATTAATATTAATTACTGTGTAGTGATATACACTCCCACATCAATATTAATTACTGTGTAGTGATATACACTCCCACATCAATATTAATTACTGCGTAGTGATATACACTCCCACAACATCAATATTAATTACTGTCTAGTGATATACACTCCCACAACACCAATATTAAGTACTATATACACTCCCACACCAAAATCGACCCATTTCAGAGGAGTTTCGTAATCAATACCAAGAAAACCTCATGTAAACCCGTTTTCTTTGGTGTCTTCAGCGCCACCACAGAAAATATGGAAGCTCCTGACATCTGTCCTCGTGACTGTCTGGTCATGTCAATAATACACCAGACTCATTTCTGCATCAATAACAATATTTATGTAGTGTTACACCTGTGGTTATAATAACCAAGTTTGATGATATCCAAGTAACTAGTCTGATAGACTGTAATAGGCACACAATTATCACCAGCAACACAGCGCAGCCGAGTATTTCACTTTAAGTATTATATTACTCTAAAGAGCGATAATATAGGACAAATAAATTATTATCAGTGATGATGATGAATTAGAAGAGCAACAATGATACAATTATACACCTCCAGCCACTCCAGAGCCAAATAAACCATATCTTCTTCCTTCACTAGATATCTATCAGTTATTACATGTTACCAATTTATTCTTCGGATTCAGCAGAAACTTTGCTATTTCATCCTCACAGTGAACATCACTGCTGAATGTTGTGTTCACTGAAGGAAACGTTGGGATATAGAGGATTGTGAGGCTGGGAAGAGGCTGTTGTTTATCTCGTCATCCCAGAGACATTATTGACTAACCTACACATGCATCAACACCTTAAAGTTGGTACTCACATATAGCAGTCGGATGGAGCCTTAATGTGTTGCGGTAACTGTTCAAAATACTGGCGAAATTCTTCAAACTCTCTGTCTGCCATCTTGAATAGATTGTCGGGTAGACTCGCTTGAGGATCAGGTTGCCCACGAGTGTCACTGAGGAGAGCCTGGCTAGCTAGCCACCGAGCCTCGCTACTCCCACCTGATCACTTAGTTGACAAATGGCTTTCAACTTTCGCCTCTATGTCAAAAACAACATATTTTACCGCAATTTTGATTCATTAAGCACATAGCCTCCATTAAACTAAAACTAACGACCCATATACCAAACTGTATCACCTATCCCATAACAAACAAGAGGTAAATATGTCCCCCGGAAACATTACATGGCATCTAAGAGACAAAAACTTAAGAATCAATAACAAACAAAACACTAGAGAAATCTTCAAGTGGGAAAAAATCATTACAATTTCCCCAAAATAAAATTATGTCTGAAGGGTGATTGATTTATTGTTGAGATTATAAACACGGTGAGGAACCTGGACTCCAATAAGCCACAGAAAACGGCGTTCACTAAATTTTTTAAAAAATATATATACAAAAAAAAAACTGCTATGCTTCCCTTTAATAAATTAATAAGTTTGTGAGTTTATTTAGGTATAGTTTACATAAGCTGGATGATCACTGGTGTGTTTATAGTAATGTATTGGTAGATTATCTTGGATTTCGTCAAAAACAAAAACAAAAATAGGAAAGACTGACTTGTTTTGATTGGGGTCGTCCCCTGCCCTCTTTTCTTAACAATAAGTTTACCTCAGTCACTCTCTCTCTCTCTCTCTCTCTCTCTCTCTCTCTCTCTCTCTCTCTCTCTCTCTCTCTCTCTCTCTCTCTCTCTCTCTCTCCCCTCTCTCTCTCTCTCTCTCTCTCCAGTAACAGCCTGGTTTATCAGGCCCTGATACACCACCTGGCCTGTTCATGGACCTGGCCGCGGAGGCGTTGACCCCCGGAACACCCACCAGGTATACTCAAGGTAGACTCCAAGTATACTCATGGTAGACTCCAGGTATGATACATATAAAAATAAGCCAGGTGCCTTCCTGGATGACAGCACGTGATGCTGTCTTACTCTTCAATGTCTACCCGTGTTGTCTACCACTGGAGTTCATATCTACCCGTGTTGTCTACCACTGATGTTTACATCTACCGTGTTGTCTACCACTGATGTTCACATCTACCGTTTTGTCTACCACTGATGTTCACATCTACCGTGTTGTCTACCACTGATGTTCACATCTACCGTGTTGTCTATTACTGATGTTCACATATCCCGTGTTGTCTACCACTGATGTTCACATTTACCGTGTTGTCTACCACTGATGTTTACATCTACCGTGTTGTCTACCACTGATGTTCACATTTACCGTGTTGTCTACCACTTTTTAGAGATTTTGCTACCGAAGTGGCTAGTTTATTGTGCACCCCATATCCATCCTGTGGACGGTAGCGCGAGAGCATGTGGATACACAAAAGGCCTAGGAACCACTGATGTTCACATCTACAGTGTTGTCTACCACTGAGGGCCACAACTACCCGTGCTGTCTACAACTGAAGGCCACAACTACCCGTATTGTCTACAACTGAAGGCCACAACTACCCGTGTTGTCTACAACTGAAGGCCACAACTACCCGTGTTGTCTACCACTGAAGGCCACAACTACCCGTGTTGTCTACAACTGAAGGCCACAACTACCCGTGTTGTCTACCACTGAGGGCTACAACTACCCGTGTTGTCTACCACTGAGGGCCACAACTACCCGTGTTGTTTACCACTGAGGGCCACAACTACCCGTGTTGTCTACCAGTTAAGGCCACAACTACCTGTGTTGTCTACCACTTAAAGCCACAACTACCCGTGTTGTCTACCAGTTAAGGCCACAACTACCCGTGTTGTCTACCACTTAAAGCCACAACTACCCGTGTTGTCCACCACTGAAGGCCACAACTACCCGTGTTGTCTACCACTGAGGGCCACAACTACCCGTGTTGTCTACCACTTAAGGCCACAACTACCCGTGTTGTCTACCACTTAAGGCCACAACTACCCGTGTTGTCTACCACTTAAGGCCGCAACTACCCGTGTTATCCACCACTGAAGGCCACAACTACCCGTGTTGTCTACCAGTTAAGGCCACAACTACCCGTGTTGTCCACCACTGAAGGCCACAACTACCCGTGTTGTCCACCACTGAAGGCCACAACTACCCGTGTTGTCCACCACTGAAGGCCACAACTACCCGTGTTATCCACCACTGAAGGCCACAACTACTCGTGTTGTCTACCAGTTAAGGCCACAACTACCCGTGTTGTCTACCACTTAAGGCCACAACTACCCGTGTTGTCTACCACTTAAGGCCACAACTACCCGTGTTGTCCACCACTGAAGGCCACAACTACCCGTGTTGTCCACCACTGAAAGCCACAACTACCCGTGTTGTCCACCACTGAAGGCCACAACTACCCGTGTTATCCACCACTGAAGGCCACAACTACTCGTGTTGTCTACCAGTTAAGGCCACAACTACCCGTGTTGTCTACCACTTAAGGCCACAACTACCCGTGTTGTCTACCACTTAAGGCCACAACTACCCGTGTTGTCTACCACTTAAGGCTACAACTACCCGTGTTGTCCACCACTGAAGGCCACAACTACCCGTGTTGTCCACCACTGAAGGCCACAACTACCCGTGTTGTCTACCACTTAAGGCCACAACTACCCGTGTTGTCTACCACTTAAGGCCACAACTACCCGTGTTGTCTACCACTTAAGGCCACAACTACCCGTGTTGTCCACCACTGAAGGCCACAACTACCCGTGTTGTCCACCACTGAAGGCCACAACTACCCGTGTTGTCCACCACTGAAGGCCACAACTACCCGTGTTGTCTACCACTTAAGGCCACAACTACCCGTGTTGTCTAACCACTTAAGGCCAACAACTACCCGTGTTGTCTACCACTTAAGGCCACAACTACCCGTGTTGTCCACCACTGAAGGCCACAACTACCCGTGTTGTCCACCACTTAAGGCCACAACTACCCGTGTTGTCCACCACTGAAGGCCACAACTACCCCTGTTTTCGCCTCATTAGCGATCTTCCTCTTTAATTAACAAAACAATTAGCGAGGCTAAGTATAGTGTTACCTCAAAACAATTTTGTTTTCAAACTTTTATTAAAGTTGGGGTTATGAAGTTAATTTTTAACCCTGTGTGTATACCATGTTATTGTTAGCATTATGAACTTTGTTATACACCTCTATGTGTGTATATACACGCTTACTGTTGGTCGGTTGATGGGGTTTGAAGCCTATCTACTACACGAGAGTCATTAAGGCTGCATGTCACCCGCTCACCACCAGTCAAGAATATTTTAATACCTAAAATACCGATTAAAGGTGAACTCTCAGTATATATACACTGAGATATACACCTCACAGTTGATAAATTAGACACATGTGCAACTCTTGGGTATCTTTATTGAGGAAACGTTTCGCCACACAGTGGCTTCATCAGTCCATACGTAGGAGAAACTTGAAGAACAGGAGGAGAATGAGGTAATCAGTCCCTCAACCTTGAGTCGATGTGTTCAGTCCATCAATCTTGAATAGAATACACAATATGAGCGGAGAAGCAGCTTATAAACCGTATGGCAGGAGAGGTGCAGCAGTCATAGGTGGTGTCACATTTGTTCAGTGTGGAAGTAGGTCATGCCCAAGAATTAGGCAAGCGAAGAATTCCTAAGTATTAAGATCCCAAGAAGTTACAGTGTCTGACAGGTTTGTAGATGAATGGTTCAGAGAACCGACATGTTGATAAATTAGACACAAGTGCAACTCTTTATCAATTTCTATATAGTATGTCACTTCTGTCAGCTAGGTACACGTAATACATGTACTTACCTGGAGTTTACCTGGAGAGAGTTCCGGGGGTCAACGCCCCCGCGGCCCGGTCTGTGACCAGGCCTCCTGGTGGATCAGAGCCTGATCAACCAGGCTGTTGCTGCTGGCTGCACGCAGACCAACGTACGAGCCACAGCCCGGCTGGTCAGGAACCGACTTTAGGTGCCTGTCCAGTGCCAGCTTGAAGACTGCCAGGGGTCTGTTGGTAATCCCCCTTATGTATGCTGGGAGGCAGTTGAACAGTCTCGGGCCCCTGACATTTATTGTATGGTCTCTTAACGTGCTAGTGACACCCCTGCTTTTCATTGGGGGGATGTTGCATCGTCTGCCAAGTCTTTTGCTTTCGTAGTGAGTGATTTTCGTGTGCAAGTTCGGTACTAGTCCCTCTAGGATTTTCCAGGTGTATATAATCATGTATCTCTCCCGCCTGCATTCCAGGGAATACAGGTTTAGGAACCTCAAGCGCTCCCAGTAATTGAGGTGTTTTATCTCCGTTTATGCGCGCCGTGAAGGTTCTCTGTACATTTTCTAGGTCAGCAATTTCACCTGCCTTGAAAGGTGCTGTTAGTGTGCAGCAATATTCCAGCCTAATAGAACAAGTGACCTGAAGAGTGTCATCATGGGCTTGGCCTCCCTAGTTTTGAAGGTTCTCATTATCCATCCTGTCATTTTTTCTAGCAGATGTGATTTGATACAATGTTATGGTCCTTGAAGGTGAGATCCTCCGACATGATCACTCCCAGGTCTTTGACGTTGGTGTTTCGCTCTATTTTGTGGCCAGAATTTGTTTTGTACTCTGATGAAGATTTAATTTCCTCGTGTTTACAATATCTGAGTAATTGAAATTTCTCATCGTTGAACTTCATATTGTTTTCTGCAGCCCACTGAAAGATTTGGTTGATGTCCGCCTGGAGCCTTGCAGTGTCTGCAATGGAAGACACTGTCATGCAGATTCGGGTGTCATCTGCAAAGGAAGACACGGTGCTGTGGCGACATCCTTGTCTATGTCGGATATGAGGATGAGGAACAAGATGGGAGCGAGTACTGTGCCTTGTGGAACAGAGCTTTTCACCGTAGCTGCCTCGGACTTTACTCTGTTGACGACTACTCTCTGTGTTCTGTTAGTGAGGAAATTATAGATCCATCGACCGACTTTTCCTGTTATTCCTTTAGTACGCATTTTGTGCGCTATTACGCCATGGTCACACTTGTCGAAGGCTTTTGCAAAGTCTGTATATATTACATCTGCATTCTTTTGTCTTCTAGTGCATTTAGGACCTTGTCATAGTGATCCAATAGTTGAGACAGACAGGAGCGACCTGTTTCTAAACCCATGTTGCCCTGGGTTGTGTAACTGATGGGTTTCTAGATGGGTGGTGATCTTGCTTCTTAGGACCCTTTCAAAGATTTTTATGATATGGGATGTTAGTGCTATTGGTCTGTAGTTCTTTGCTGTTGCTTTACTGCCCTCTTTGTGGAGTGGGGCTATGTCTGTTGTTTTTAGTAACTGTGGGACGACCCCCGTGTCCATGCTCCCTCTCCATAGGATGGAAAAGGCTCGTGATAGGGGCTTCTTGCAGTTCTTGATGAACACGGAGTTCCATGAGTCTGGCCCTGGGGCAGAGTGCATGGGCATGTCATTTATTGCCTGTTCGAAGTCATTTGGCGTCAGGAGCGGCTTGCTAAAAACTGAGTCATATTGGGACTTGAGTAGCTCACTCATTTCCTTGCTGTCATCTGTGTAGGACCCATCTTGTTTAAGTAGAGGCCCAATACTGGACGTTGTTGTCGACTTTGATTTGGCATAGGAGAAGAAATACTTTGGGTTTCTTTCGATTTCATTTATGGCTTTTAGTTCTTCCCGCGATTCCTGACTCCTATAAGATTCCTTTAGCTTAAGTTCGATGCTTGCTATTTCTCTGACCAGTGTCTCCCTACGCATTTCAGATATATTGACCTCTTTTAGCCGCTCTGTTATTCTTTTCCGTCGCCTGTAAAGGGAGCGCCTGTCTCTTTCTATTTTACATCTACTCCTCCTTTTTCTTAGAGGAATAAGCCTCGTGCATACATCGAGTGCCACCAAGTTAATCTGTTCCAGGCATAAGTTGGTGTCTGTGTTGCTTAGTATATCTTCCCAGCTTATATCGGTTAGGACTTGGTTTACTTGGTCCCACTTTATGTTTTTGTTATTGAAGTTGAATTTGGTGAATGCTCCCTCGTGACTAGTCTCATTATGTCGGTCTGGGGCTCTGCGCATACATGTCTGAACCTCAATTATGTTGTGATCTGAGTATATTGTTTTTGATATGGTGACATTTCTTATCAGATCATCATTGTTAGTGAAGATGAGGTCTAGTGTATTCTCCAGTCTAGTAGGCTCTATTATTTGCTGGTTTAAATTGAATTTTGTGCAGAGATTTAAAAGCTCGTGTGAGTGTGAGTTTTCATCAGCGCTGCCTCCTGGTGTTATTTCTGCAACAATATTATTTGCTATATTCCTCCATTTTAGGTGCCTTAAGTTGAAATCCCCCAGGAGCAAGATGTTGGGTGCAGGAGCTGGAAGATTTTCCAGACAGTGTCAATTTTTAACAGCTGTTCCTGGAATTGCTGGGATGTTGCATCCGGAGGCTTGTAGACCTACCACAATGACTAGGTTTTGTTCTCGACCTTTACTGCTAAAACTTCCACTACATCATTTGAGGCATTAAGCAGTTCTGTGTAAACAAGTGACTCTGCAATGTACAGGCCAACCCCCCCCCCCCCTTTTTTTGCTTGTTCACTCTGTCACATCTATATAGGTTGTAACCTGGGATCCATATTTCGTTGTCCAAGTGATCCTTTATGTGGGTCTCAGTGAAAGCCGCGAACATTGCCTTTGCCTCTGCAAGCAGTCCACGGATGAAAGGTATTTTGTTGTTTGTTGCTGGTTTTAGACCCTGTATATCCTTCCAGGATATGGCAGTACTAAATGAATTCCAAAGGGTGAGGAACAGAGTACAGAGACTTATAAAAGGAGCAAAGGCAAAGCACTATTGCTCAAAAATTGAAGAGTATAAGAATAACCCCAGAAAGCTCTGGCAACAGCTAAAACAGTTGGGGTATAGCCATAAGCCAGTAGATAGGTCTAACATAGTACTCACTATCGATAATGAGGTATGCCACGAAACATCTAAGGTGGCAAATTGCTTTAATTCCTACTGCACATCTGTTGCATCAACACTAGTAAGTAAACTACCAGCTGCATCAAATACCTTTAACACAGACTCTGATAAGTTTCAAACATACTATACCAATAAAGGGGTAACCCCAAACAGTTGTCAACTAGTAAGTGTATCTCATGACTTCATTCAAAAAGAACTAAGCAGGTTAAACCCAACTAAGAGCACAGGCCCTGATAACATCCCGTCTAAGTTCCTAAAAGATGGTGCTTCTGAACTGTCAATCCCTATTGCTCACATAATAAATCTATCACTCACCACTAATACCGTACCGGAGGGGTTCAAGGAGGCCAGAGTTACTCCTATCTTCAGGAAAAATAATAGGTCTGATGTAAGCAACTATAGGCCTGTTAGTATACTCAGTATAATATCTAAATTCTGGAGAGGGCGGTTATTCTCAAGTAATTAAGTACCTTAATGACAACAGCATTCTCCATAGCTATCAATCGGGCTTCAGAAGATCCTACTCAACCGACACCTCCCTTATTAATCTGATGGATTACCTGAGAACTGAAATGTCAAAGGGGAACCTCATAGGTATGGTAACCTTAGACCTGCAAAAGGCCTTCGATACTGTCAACCACAATATATTAGTAAGAAACTTCAAGCTATCGTATAGGTTCTGTAGACTGGTTTAAGTCCTACCTTAGCAACAGGAGACAAATAGTCAAAATCAACAAACGGAATCAGAACCCCTGCTGATAACATGTGGAGTTTCCCCAAGGAAAGTATTCTGGGTCCCTTATTATTCTTATGTTATGTCAATGATATGCCTATCAGTGTCAAATGCAAACTCCTACTGTATGCAGATGACAGTGCTCTGTTAGTGACAGGTAAAGACCCACAAGATATTGCTAATGTTTTAACACTGGAACTGGAGTCCTGCAGCAAATGGTTAGTAGACAACAAACTATCATTACACCTAGGGAAAACTGAAGCCATTCTCTTTGGCACGAAACATAAACTGAGAAGGGTAATTAATTTTAATGTTCAGTGTAATGGGGAGCCCATCACTTTGGTTTCATCAGTAAAATATCTGGGAATCCCTTGACCCATGCATGTCAGGAGAATTGGTAGGGAACAGTGTAGTAAAGAAAGCGAATGCCAGACAGAAGTTCCTGTATAGACAAGCACAGTGTCTACCTACTGAGGCTCGCAGGACCCTATGTCTAGCCCTTATACAATGCCATATGGATTACGCTTGCTCTTCATGGTACTCTGCCTTGACCAAAAAACTGAAAGATAGACTGCAAATCACCCAGAACAAAATCGTAAGATTCATCCTGGGCTGGGACCAAGAGAACATGTAGGCCAGGATGAATTACAGCAGTTGGATATCTGAATGTTGAAGACAGAGTAAAACAACTAAAGCTAAATCATGTTTATAAAATTGCTCACAAACAATGTCCAGAATATCTTGCTGTCAATTTTGTCAAGGTTGGGAACCAAAGCAATCATAGTACTAGGGGGAGAGAGCACAACTTTGCAGTACCCACAGTCAGTGGCCAGGCTTCAAACACCTTTTATTGTACAGCATAAAGGAAATGGAACAGACTACCCGCACATGTCAAAGCCAGTCATAGCATGAACCAGTTTTAAGAAGAGTGCCAAAAGGTGTCTGATGAATGTAGCTACAGAAAGGGAGGGGAATGATTTTCTATTTTTTAGCTAACATACGTGTAAATTTTACCTTATTCCTAGTAATGACCCTCGTATTGTAGATAGTCTTAATGACCCTCGTGTAGTAGATAGTCTTTTTAAAATATGATAATAAGATTGTTATTTTTCGTTGTAGAATAATAAGAAAATATTATAACCTTTATATTATAATAATAAGGTAAAAGGACACCAATGGAAATAAGTCACTCTGTCTGACTTTTTTGGGTTATCCTAGGTTCTCTACACATATGCTGCTATGTATGATAATTCTATGTATCTGTATTTAGCCTGGTGGCTAAAGCTCCCGCTTCACACACGGAGGGCCCGGGTTCGATTCCCGGCGGGTGGAAACATTCGACACGTTTCCTTACACCTGTTGTCCTGTTCACCTAGCAGCAAATAGGTACCTGGGTGTTAGTCGACTGGTGTAGGTCGCATCCTGGGGGACAAGATTAAGGACCCCAATGGAAATAAGTTAGACAGTCCTCGATGACGCACTGACTTTCTTGGGTTATCCTGGGTGGCTAACCCTCCGGGGTTAAAAATCCGAACGAAATCTTATCTTATCTTACTTACTTGCTTAAGTTTCTTCCCGGACAGAGGACGGCGGGTTCAATACGGTGTAAGGTGTCAGTGGCCCTATAAACCCCAACAACAATAAGACAATTCTTGTTATCAGGAGGGAAAGGACGTTTCAGGCAAGCTGCAGGTGTCCTGTAAAAGAAGAAAAGATGATAATGGCATTAAAGCCGTGTGTGAGGCAGCTAGGAGGAGTGGCACAGGTGTGGAGGTGTGTGTCCCGGAGCATCGCCCATCAAACCTACAGGATCACGGCCGGCAACACCAACCATGACATCAATGATGCCCAGAAGGCAGCTGGTCCCACCAGTGCCAGGCTGCCCAGACTCAGACACACCATTCCTGAGTCCTATGAGAAGGTCACTCATAAATATGCTATTTCTCCATATTAAAAGTTTTATTTAATCAACCTTAGCGCTTTCTTTATTATAATAATCACCGTAATGATTTGGGATACCCAACATTATAGTTATGGAAATAAGTCACTTTGACTTTTTTTTAATTATCTTAGGTAATTTGTTCAGTATTGTATGACCCTAGTAGTTTTAGTGCTTTCTTTTAATAATAATAATTAATAATAATAATAATAATAATAATAATAATAATAATAATATACATATGTTAATATGTACTCCAGGTATGTATGATAAGTTGTGTAACTGTGTTTGTATACTTGTACCTAAGTAAACTTACTAACCCGGAGCTTTCTACATTTATAATTAAATGTCAGACCTTTTAGGGAAAGGTGTCTTGATGTTGGTGAGACTCTTGATCCAGGGAAATGAAGCAACCCTCTCTTACAAGGACCCCAATGGAAATAAGTCACTTTGGCTTTTTTGGGTTATTCTGGGTAATTTACTTAAATAAACTTACTCTTACTTTGGATCAAATCTTTAATTACTTATGATTCTCCAAGTGATACTTGTACGACCCCTACAGATTCAGCACTCGAATCATGAATGTAATTGGAATGAGAGTAAGGTAATATTCTTATTTTACCTAAAAGATATTTAAAGGGTGTTTTTTGGGGGTCAGTGCTCCTGTGACCTGGTCCCAGACCAGGCCTCTTACATTATGATGCTTGAGCTTACATTAGGATGCTTGAGCTTAGATAGTGGGATGTGCAATGGGGACAATAATATTTTGGGCAATATGTAAATATTTGTTTTTTGGTTACCAAATCTAACCTAACTTAGCCTAGACCAGGACTTAAAATCTAGGTTAGGCTAGGTTGGATTACACTAAGTTAAGTTTTATTAACAAAAAATAATTTTTCTATTACCAAAAATAGTTTTTCTCTTACCAAAAATAGTTTTTTCCTATTTCCTCTGAATATAACTGTCTCCATTGAACAACCCACTTAATATCGGAGAATTTACATAATAAACTGACGCCCAGCATAAAATAAATACAACCCGCAGATTGATCGTGTACAAGGTTTGTCCAATCTGACATTGATCCAATCAGAGATTGTTATAATTTGTGATTACCCCAGTCTGAGATTGTCCAAGTCTCAAGTTGTCCAAGTCTTAGATTATGTGTGTTCTAGTCATATAATTTATGGTACCCACACATACTGTATAGAAATGTACAATTATAGGACATATTATTTGTCAAATTTATTGTAGGCTGAGGATATTAGGCCAGCAATTGGTTGCATGAATGTACTTAGTTACTGAAATGGCAACTATTAAAGGACCACTGTCTTGACATGAGCTGTATGTCATGGTCATCTTGTTTTTAACATGCCTGTTTGTGGTTAAATGCAGTACATAATTTTATAGGTTTATGTAATCTAACCCAGTGTAGCCTGACCAATAAACTGATCACTGCCTGACTACTATGCCAGTAGCCTTAACAAACTTTACTACCCGGCTTTCAATCAGCCAACTGCTGGCTAATTGGTTAGGGGCTCTTGATCCAAGTAATTGGACTTTTCCTTCCCTTCCTTGGATTGAACTTGATTGCCTCCCTCAATGGATGTGCCTTGATGGTGATGAAGGGCTCTTGATCCAGGGAATTAAACCTGTTCTCTCCTTGATTCAAACCTAACTACCTCCTATTTCTCAGGTGGTGTTTGATCTCTAATTTAATATGTAGTAATAATGTCTTGTTTCAGAGCCCTCTTGGTATGAAATGTATTTATTAATATAAAATATTTTCTTGGTAATTTATAGGTTGAAGTATCTACAGCGGAATGGTCATATGTAGAGCGCCTGCTTCCTCTCAAGTCTATACCAAAACCAACTGGAAACCCAGGTATGACAAAGTATTTTTTTTTTACTTTTCCTCTTATGTATGTTTTGTCATGTTTAAGCAGTAGCATTATTCAGGAAATTTATGGTGTGGAGTCTGGTTACAAGGGAACCCTCACCCCTCATTTGACAAATGACTTTACAGTGGTAGTAATAATAATACAGTGGAACCTTGGTGTTCGAATGTACTGGACCTCAAATGAACCAGAGTCCAAACAATTTTGTTGAGCAGAAATTGACCTGGTCTTTGAATGTTTTTCTGGAGTTCAAATGTGCTGGCTTGTTTAAAATTCAGTTGTAAAAACCTTTATATGAAAACCATTTCAAAAGTGCTTTGAAGTGGCCCCTGACACTGACCTAACTCTCAGAGACTTTTAGAAGTCAATTCAACATCCTCCAGTGTGTGAGGTTGATAATTAACCCTTTCAGGGTTTCGGCCATACTAGTACGGCTTACGCACCAGGGTCCATGACGTACTTGTACTCATAAATTCTAGCGCCTTCAAATCTAGTGAGAGAAAGCTGGTAGGCCTACATATGATAGAATGGGTCTATGTGGTCAGTGTGCACAGTATAAAAAAAATCCTGCAGCACACAGTGCGTAATGAGAAAAAAAAAAACTTTGACCGTGTTTTTGGATTAAAACAGTGACTTTGAACTATATTTTCATATGGTATTTATTGTTGTATTCTAGGTTTCCTGGTCCCATTGTATAGAATGGAAGACATATTACAGAAATTGAGATGATTTTGACTGGTTTTACAATGAAAAGTACCTTGAAATTGAGCTCAAAGTAGCAGAAATGTTCGATTTTTACCAAAGTTCAAAAGTAAACAAATCATGCTAAGCGTCCAATACACGTCAACTGGTGAGTCTAATATTCTTTCACAAGTGCACCGATATTATTTATACCATTTCTACACTAATGCAGTAGTCTGCATAACAGTAAATCTTCTATTTTTTGTGAGAATAAAAATTCAAAGTGGAAAGCAAAAGAAATGTAAGAGGGGCCTGGGGACGTGACTAATGAACAGAGGAAATGTTATTTTAGTGCCAGGAATGTCTTTCTTGTTTATTCTGGACCCTATTTGGAAATTGGCATCTTTTGAAATTTGTGTGAAATTGGCAAAATTGCTAAATTCTGACCACTGTATTGGATAGTTGAAATCGGTAAATTGGTGGTTTTTTGTACTCATTCAATAGAAAAAATGGAGTTCTAGCGAAATAGTTATGATTTTTGTCGACTAGTACATTGGAATTGGCCGAAAATAGGGCTCAAAGTGGGCAAAATTGCCGATGCGTAAACATCGTCGAGACCGCTAACTTTGCAAGAGCATAATTCCAGAAGTTTTCCATCTAATTTCATACTTTTGGTGTCATTATGATCGGAAAAAGATTCTCTATCTTTTCATAAGAATTTTTTTTTTTTTTCTTTTTTTTAATTTGGGGGACCCTGAGAACAAGTCTCTGAGAGGGCCTGTGGACCCTGAAAGGGTTAAAGCCGGGGAGATACTATTTCTCACATCAGACTTTTTGCAGTTCCAACACTACCTAGGAACCAGTTAAGTTCAAACACTGAGGTTCCTCTGTAGTAATTTAAGAATTTTAAGGACCAAAACTTATGTGGAGAACTGGTTAGATAAGTACACTTTCCTGCATGAAACAAACATATAGCCATTCTGATATGCAGTCATGAATGGGTTGATGTTATTTATACAATTATTACAGTACTGTAGTAGTCTGCATAACAGTAAGTCTTCTATTTTTTGTTTGAATAAAAATTCAAAATAGAAAGCAAGAGTAATATCAGATGGGCCTAGAGACATGACTGATGAACAAAGAAAATATTATTTTAGAGCCAGGAATATCTGCATTGTTCATTCTGGACCTTATTTTGAAATTGTCATATTTTTTCATTTTCGTGAAATTGGCCAAATTGCAAATTTCTGACAACGTTATTAGGTAGTTGAAATCGGTAAATGGGCAGTTTCTTGTACTCAAACGATAGAAAAAATGGAGTTCTAAAGAAATAGCTATGAGTTTGGTCGACTGGAACAATGGAATTAGCCGAAAATAGGGCTCAAAGTGGGCAAAATCGCCAATTTGTAAATATCGCCGAGGTCGCTAACTTCGCGAGAGCATAATTCCGGCAGTTTTCCATCAAATTTCGTTTTTTTTGGTGTCATTACAATCGGGAGAAGATTCTCTATCATTTCATAAGAATTTTTTTTTTTTTTTTTTTTTTTTTTTTTTTTTAAATTTTGCGACACCAGGAGACACCTCAGGATTGGGGCTTGCGACAGTCAAAGGGTTAAATAAAACTATCGCCCACTCCAACACAGTATCCCCTCCCCCTGCTTTTAACATTTCTGTCATGATCCCGTCAGTTCCAGCTGCTTTACCCCCTTTCATTCTACGTAGTGCCTCACACACCTCTCCCCACACTCACATCCTGCTCTTCTTCACTCCTAAAAGATGTTATACCTCCCTGACAAATGCATGAAATTATCACCTCCCTTTCTTCATCGACATTTAAAAGTTCCTCAAAATATTCCCGCCATCTACCCAATACCTCCAGCTCCCCATCTACTAACTCCCCTACCCTGTTTTTAACTGACAAATCCCTAGGCTTTCTTAACTCGTTTATCTCACTCGTAAATTTTTTATTTTCAACAAAATTTCTCAACAGTGCCTCTCCCACTCTTTCATCTGCTCTCCTTTTGCACTCTCTCACCACTCTCATCACCTTTCTTTTGCTCTCCATATATTCTGCTTTTCTTACAACACTTCTACTTTGTAAAAACCTCTCATAAGCTACCTTATTCTCTTCTATCACACCCTTTACTTTATCATTCCACTAGTCGCTCCTTTCCTCCTGCACCCACCCTCCTATAGCCACAAACTTCTGCCCCACATTCTAATACTGCATTTTTAAAACTATCCTAACCCTCTTCAAGCCCCCCACTACTCATACTTGCATTATAGTTGCCAATAGTTGCCTATATCTCACCCTAACTTCCTCCTCCCTTAGTTTATACACTTTCACCTCTCTCTTACTTGCTGTTGCCATTTTCCTTATGTCCCATCTACCTCTTACTCGAACTGTAGCTACAACTAAATAATAAAGATATTATTATTATATCATTAACTTCAGGCAGTGTTTGAGATAAATGTGTTGTATGAGTATTATGCAGAGAATTAGGAATGTACAACGATGTGAGGCTATGAGAAGTATAATTCAGAGGGCAGTCATGGGGTTGTTGAGATGGTTTTTTCATTTAAAAAGTATGGAGCAGGAGAGGATAATAAAAAGGGTGTACAAATCTGGGATGAAAGCAAGGTGTAGGGGTTGTTGCAGGAATGGTTGGAGGGAGTGAAGTAGGTTTTAAGTGGCAGATACTTAATCATTCAGCAAGTGTATGCAACATATTAGATCAGAGTAAGTGAAGACTAATGGGATTTTAGGATTTATGTGCTGGTGGAGTGTGAACATAGTATAATGAGGAAATTTAGAATACAGTGCCTGTATTCTAAAGGATGAGTGGGAGTGTTGAAGTTTGGAGGGTCACTTGATTTGTGATGCCCATGTACATCTGGCAAGACATCTATTAAATGAATGATGGTGATTGTGTTTTTCTTTTTGGATCACCCTACCTTGGTGGGAGAGGCTAGTGTGGTAAAAAAAAAATATGCTTGCATTACAGTGCATGTTGAAGCAGTTTTTGTGTATACATATTTATTTTAAGTAACACTTTTACTATGTACTTGCTTATAGTAAGTACAAATTTAAATATTAATTAAAGACTTCTTTTCCAAATTATTTATCAGTAGAACATAATGACAATTACATAGATTAAGAAACAATTTGAGATTATTTTATGAACTGTTAATCAGAAGTTTAAACCTCTTTTCCTAGTTTGTACAGAAATGATTGTTACCGTTTACCTTCTTACATAAGTAAGTAGGTAAGTAAGTTTAGTCAGGTATACACAAATACAGTTACATAGATTATCATACATAACAGCATATGTGTACAGAACCTAGGATAACCAAAAAAAGTCAGACAAAGTGACTTATTTCCATTGGGGTTCTTTAATTTCCATTGAAAAATTTATATAAACATTTCAGACCTATAGGTCATCAAGCAAATAAAATGAAAACTAGTGCACCAGTGCCTTTCTAAAATATCATAATTTCTTAGCACAAAGTGAAAGGAAGAATCTGGTTAATTACAGTACAGCCTCTCCTCACTTAATGACGAAGTTCCGTTCCTAAGACCACGTCATTAAACGAATTATCGCTAAGTGAGGAGCATACTATAATGGTAGTGAGTTTGTGTCAACTATCTTTGATATTGTTTTAATGTCACCATTGCAACATTTATAACATTTCTGGTATATTTTTAAATGTTTATTCAGTAGTGTACTGTACATGTACAGTGGACCCCCGGTTAACGATTTTAATCCGTGCAAGAGGGCTCATCGTTATGCGAAATAATCGTTATGCGAATGAATTTTCCCCATAAGAAATAATGGAAATAAAATTAATCCGTGCAAGACGCCCAAAAGTATGAAAAAAATTTTTTTTTACCACATGAAATGTTAATTTTAATACACACAAACTGAAAAAGGCATGCACAATTAAATGACACTTACTTTTATTGAAGATCTGGTGATGATTGATGGGATGGGAGGAGGGGAGAGAGTGTGTTAGTGTTTAGAAGGGGAATCCCCTTCCATTAGGACTTGAGGTAGTAAGTCCTTTTCTGGGTTACTTCCCTTCTTCTTTTAATGCCACTAGGGCCAGCTTCAGAGTCACTGGACTTCTTTCGCACAAGATATCTGTCCATAGTGGCCTGTACCTCTCGTTCCTTTATGACTTGCCTAAAGTGTTTCACAACATTGTCAGTGTAATAATCACCAGCACGGCTTGCAATAGCTGTGTGAGGGTGATTTTCATCCATGAAGGTTTGCACTTCAAGCCACTTAGCACAGATTTCCTTTATCTTTGTAGTAGGCAACTTCTTCAATTTCTCTCTCCCCTCCTCTAAAACCAGTTTCCTCAGGTCTGGCCTCTTGCTCTTGAAGTTGATCTATCAGCTCATCAGTGGTTAGTTCTTCATTGTCCTCCTCCACCAACTCTTCCACATCCTCCCCACTAACCTCCAACCCCAAGGACTTTCCCAATGCCACAATGGATTCCTCAACTGGCACAGGATTCTCAGGTTAGCCTCAAACCCTTCAAAATCCCTTTTGTCTACACATTCTGGCCACAGTTTCTTCCAAGCAGAGTTCAAGGTCCTCTTAGTCACTTCCTCCCAAGCCTTACCTATAAGGTTTACACAATTGAGGATATTAAAGTGATCTCTCCAAAACTCTCTTAGAGTCAGTTGAGTTTTTGAGGTCATTACAAAGCACCTTTCAAACAGAGCTTTTGTGTACAGTTTCTTGAAGTTGGAAATAACCTGCTGGTCCATGGGCTGCAGGAGAGGAGTGGTATTAGGAGGCAAAAACTTCACCTTAATGAAGCTCATGTCCCCATAAAGTCGCTCTGCCACGTCTGTAGGATGACCAGGGGCATTGTCTAACACCAGGAGGCACTTAAGTTCTAATTTCTTTTCATTAGGTAATTTTTCACATTGGGGGCAAATGCATGGTGTAACCAGTTATAGAAAAATCCCTAGTGACCCATGCCTTACTGTTTGCCCTCCACAGCACACACAAATTATCCTTGAGGACATTCTTTTGCCTGAACGCTCTGGGAGTTTCAGAGTGATACACTAATAAAGGCTTCACTTTGCAATCAACCAGTAGCATTGGCACACATGAGAAGAGTAAGCCTGTCTTTCATAGGCTTATGTCCTGGGAGTGCCTTTTCCTCCTGAGTAATGTAGGTCCTGCTTGGCATTTTTCTTCCAGAACAGGCCTGTTTCATCACAATTAAACACTTGTTCAGGTTTCAGTCCTTCAGTTTCTATGTACTCCTTGAATTCCTGCACATATTTTTCAGCCGCTTTGTGGTCCGAACTGGCAGCCTCACCATGCCTTATCACACTATGGATGCCACTACGCTTCTTAAATCTCTCAAACCAACCTTTGCTGGCCTTAAATTCACTCACATCATCACTAGTTGCAGGCATTTTTTTAATTAAATCCTCATGCAACTTCCTAGCCTTTTCACATATGATCGCTTGAGAGATGCTATCTCCTGCTATCTGTTTTCATTTATCCACACCAATAAGAGTCTCTCAACATCTTCCATCACTTGCGATCTTTGTTTCGAAAACACAGTTGAACCTTGGCAAGAACAGCTTCCTTGATTGTCTTTCTGGTGCCCACAATAGTAGCGATGGTTGATTGGGGTTTCTTGTACAGCTTGACTAGGTCGGCTATACGCACTCCACTTTCATACTTATCAATTATCTCTTTCTTCATCTCTATAGTAATTCTTACCCTTTGAGGTGTAGGGTTGGCACTAGAAGCTTTCCTGGGCCCATGGTCACTTATTTTCCAGAAACAGCACCGAAAATACTGTAATAATACGAAATATTCCGAGTGTATGCTTGGATGTTACCGCGGAGGCTGGCTGGTAAACAATGGGACGGGGCGGCACATGTGAGGCTGGCTGAGGGCACATTGGACGCGTCTCGGACGAAAATCGGTAAGCGGGTTTTTAATCGGTATGCGCGGCAAAAATTTTGCGATAAAAGTAATCGTTATGCGGAAAAATCGCTATGTGATGCCATCGTTATGCGGGGGTCCACTGTATATTGTAATAAACAGAATAGAGGAAATCAGCTCTAATATACATTATTTAGGTATGAGTACTGGTCACAGAACCCGTCGCAAGTCCGAGACGTTGGTAAACGAGAATGTCGAACAGCTCTCAACTCGAACTAACTCAGATATTTCAATATTTGAACACTTTGTTCGGTAAAAAAAATCGCTCGGTAGTTCACCATTGCTCGGTACCCGACCAAATAATGTGTGTCAGTCTCCCCGCAGCTGTTGCTCAGTGCAAAACTCCACAGAACTTCGCTGTAAACTATTTCGTGCTTCTTTGCATTTTTTTTATATTGTATAAATAAGTCACTATGGGGCCTAAGAAGATTAGTGATAACAACCAACCAAAAAGAAAATTGGTTAGAGTAACAATAGAGATGAAAAAGTATTATTAATTATTCCTTATGGAAAAATTTGTTTGGTACTCGAACAAATCGGCACTCAAACAGCCTTCTGGAATGAATTAAGTTCGAGTACCAAGGTACTACTGTATTTAAAAGTGAAAAAGATAATAAAAAAACCTAGAAATTGTTGATTCTGCATGATGATTATTATTTACACTTTATCACACAGGTGAAGTAATGCCATCAGGATGGGTTGTGCCTTCAGCCAAGCCAGGAGACTACCCATATTTTGTTCCTCGCTCAGCTAATCATATGCTACCTGTGTATTTACTTCACAAGCCTATATTATCAAAGTAAGCTCAAGCATTGTGCACTTTTTTTTGTGTAAATTTTGTAGTATGTATCTATATTTTGGTAGCAATCTTCAAACTATATTTTTTATGCTTTCACTATGAGTAATTGCTGTCTGTATAAATGCATTACTGTTTGTAATAATGTGTGTATGTGCAATTATCAGTAATTGCAGTTTTTTAACTGTTACTTAGCCAGATTCAGGTTCTGCAGGTAGGAAGTTCAGTGCCTGCATTCTGAGAATGTGTGGGGATGTTGCATTTCATTTGGTCATTTGAACTGTGATGTGTATACATTTCTAGAAAGATGGCTAGAAAATGAGTGATGGTGACTATCATTTGGGAATTTACCAATATTGTATTAAAAAAGTTGATCATCACAGTTAATGATCATTCATATTTTACTCAAGCAACTATAGTACCTTGAAAGTTTTCTAGGGTGCTATCAACTGAGGCAGCCCATTGACTTTCCTTTGACAGGTTACTGTATATTCATGCACGATGACCTAAAATATATTTATTTTAACTTTCAGACATGTAACATCAGTGAAACATGTTCAAGGTGACATTTTCGCTCTGAGTGAGGAACTGCGTGAACACTTGACACAGCTTCTTCCATCTCGTAAGATTATCAATATGCGTGTTCATGAACCTCATCAAATGATACAGATCAAAGGACAATTTGTGACTGAGTTGAAAGAATTCCTGTTAAAGAAAGGTTTTTAGGTGATTTAATTAAAATGCACTTGGGAAACTTAAAAAAAAAAAAACAGTTATCTCAAACTCAGATGCCAATGATACTATCAGTAAAATTTCTAGGGAATCCTAAATGTCTGGTAAGTTACATAAAGTTCCATTAAGGATAACATTTCATAAATTTAATTGACAAAAGATGATTGTTATTTGGCAAATATAGTAATTTTATTCTTAGTGGCATTTCTCTTGCCTCTTGCAGAGTGATAGCTAACATTTATAGTAATTAATAAGTAGTCACTTGATGGAGAGTTCACAACAGAAATTATGGAAATTATCTTGTACAGTAACTAATTTATATAAACCCTTATTTCCTTTAACCCTTTCAGGGTCTGTGCCGTAGATCTACAGTTTTACGTTGAGGGTCCAAACCGTAGATCTACGCCATGAGCTCAGCTCGCTGATAAGCTGTGAGCGGTAAATTTGGGCCTAGATATAAGAGAATACATCTATGTGGTATGTGTGCACCACATAAAACAATCCTGCAGCATACAGTGCATAGAGAAAAAACTGAGACCATAATTTTCGATTAAAACAGCGACTTTGCAGTGTTTTTTCATATGTTTTTTATAGGTGTATTTGCGATTTCTTGGTCTCATTTGATAGAATGGAAGATACATTACAGAAATAGAGATGATTTTGATTGGTTTTAGTACTGAAAATAGCTTAAAACTGAGCTCAAAGTAGTGGAAATGTTAAATTTTTGCTGATGTTCAAGAGTAAACAAATGACCTCACACATTTAATACACGCCAGCTGGTGGGTCTGATATATGTTCACAAATGTGGTGATATTATTTATACAATTATTACAATATTGCATAACAGTAAATCTTCTGTTTTTTGGTTGGAATAAAAATTCATTATGTGAATAAAAAATCAAAATGGATTTCATTTGTAAAGCCTGAAAACATAACTAATGAACAGAGGAAATGTTAGTTTAGTGCCAGGAGTGCCTCCATTATTTATTCTGGACCCTATTTTGAAATTGGAATATTTTGAACTTTGCATTAAATTGGCCAAATTACCAATTTCCGATCACTTTATTTTGTAGTTGAAACAGTTGACTTGGTGATTTCTTGTGCTCAATTGATAGAATAGAAGTAATACTAGTGAAATAGCTAAGAGTTTGGTCGACTGGAATAATGTAATTGGCCTAAAATGGGAGTCAAAGTCGGCAAAATCGCTGATTCGTAAATATTGCTGACACATCAAAATTCACGAGAGCATAACTTCGTCAATTCTCCATCAAATTTTGTACTTTTTTGTTTTATTACCTTCAGAAAAAGATTCTCTACTATTTCATAGAAAAAATAACAAAATTATTTTTTGAAAATTCTTGGACACTGGTGCACACTTTGAAACTTGGCATCTGGACCCTGAAAGGGTTAATACAGACATAATCTGATTTATTAATTGGCTCTGATTCGTTACATCTACTGTGACCCCACCTTTTCCTTCCTTCTATATTCTTCCTTCAACACCATTACCTTCTTCATCTACCATATCTTTATTCCTGCCTTGTAGCACGGAAATGCCCTTATGGGTTTTTTGCTTTCCATAAATATAATAAGACCATGTTTAAGTATTATGATTACAGTTTAGGAGAGTTGTTGCCCAAATTGCTTGAGTATATAACTTATCTTCTTTTTTTTTTTTTAACTCACTGGCCGTATCCCACCGAGGCAGGGTGACCCAAAAAGAAAAATGAAAGTTTTTCTTTTTACATTTAATAATTTATACAGGAGAAGGGGTTACTAGCCCCTTGCTCCCAGCATTTTAGTAGCCTTGTGACACACATGGTTTACGGAGGAAGAAATTTATGTTATTACTAATGTATACTGAATGAAAATCACTGATGTCCAATATTGGAATCTACATTAACAGTGTAGGTGTGCAGTGTCACCATTTTGAGTTGATGTAAAGCAAGACAGACAATAACTAGGGCACAAAATGTGTATAATGTATAGTATTGTGAATAAAAAGATCATTTTTTTATTTGCTTTTAATTAATGAAAATCCATGCTGTGTTGCAATAAACAAATAATGCTGTACTAAGAAAAATTGGTATACTACTTTTCCTTGTAAAGGTAATCCAAAGAATATTGTTTTAATTATCCCAGCTGTTACAAGTGCATTATAAGTGAAGTCGGGCATAGCTTTTTTAAAAGCTATTTCATTAGAGTAAAGGGAAATTGGTGTAAAATTTAGTCAGTCTTAAGGCAAACATGCTAATTGACCATTTGATTTATAATTAGAGTAGCTATACGTCTCATAACAGTTGAGACATGCTAGATTAGTACAGTAGTGTGTATTGTCTCTTAACTTCATGGAGTTTTTGGAGTATCAGGCAGTAATAGTTATGGTACATAGCAGTTTTCTTTTTTTTTGTGTGTGTGCTGTGATAAAAGAAACTTCTATAAAAATGGCAAAGCATGTCAATATATATGATTTTTTTTTTTTGAAACATTGGAGAGCTTATGGCATCCTAATGATAATAAACTATCACACAAATGCAATGCTGTTTATATTTCTGAATTTTTTGTAGCTGCAGGTTTCACTAAGGCATTAAAAATATTTTATTGAAATTAATAGTGTTCTTAATCATCCTTTTGTCCCTGACCATCCATAATTCATATTTATTGTACATGAATTTCAATAAGTCAGCTTTGCAGTTACGTATTTCTTTGGTAGCTATTTATCTACTGAGCAACACATTACTGTTCAATTCAGCTTGTTTTCCAACAAGAGTTCATATTAGGTTTTGCACACATTAAATTGAGTCTTTTTCTGCTTGATCAAAACAGCTGTATAAATTATATACTGAATTTGATATTCTAGGTTAGTTTAGGTTAACCTAGGCTAACCTAAATTAACCTAGCTTTATATACAACCAGGTCTCGATAAGCGTGAGTTCGAATAGTGTGAATTTCACTTTGGTGCAAAATTAATTAATGCTATTTTTTTCCCCCAAACTCTTCAAATCATACACAAAAATTACATACCGTATATGTCGTCCTTGAAAAGGTTGGAAGGAAAGAAGGGGTAAGGGAGGTTTTATGGGAGAGGGGCTTGGACTTCCAGCAGGCGTGCATGAGCGTGTTCGATAGGAGTGAATGGAGACAAATGGTATTTGGGACCTGACGATCTGTTGGAGTGTGAGCAGGGTAATATTTAATGAAGGGATTCAGGGAAACCGGTTATTTTTATATAGCCGGACTTGAGTCCTGGAAATGGGAAGTACAATGCCTGCACTCCAAAGGAGGGGTTTCGGGATATTAGCAGTTTGGAGGGATATGTTGTGTATCTTTATACGAATATGCTTCTAAACTGTTGTGTTCTGAGCACCTCTGCAAAAACAGTGATAATGTGTGAGTGAGGTGAAAGTGTTGAATGATGATGAAAGTATTTTCTTTTTGGGGATTTTATTTCTTTTTGGGTCACCCTGCCTCGGTGGGAGACGGCCGACTTATTGAAAAAAAAAAATATGTACATTCGAACAGTGTGAATTTAAATAATGCAACCACTTCAAGGGATTCTTTGTTCGCACTAACTTCTAAGAGCATAATGATATAACTTCATTACTGCTTAACATAAATGTGAAAATGAGTGTGGACTCTGAGAGGACCTTACCAGATGTGTACAAGTATGCCCACTTGATAATACTCTCAAGGGATAGATGTACTGGGAGATCTTTCTTGTAGCCTTCATTATATTTTATATTTATTGGCCTGCTCAGTAAAGGAAGGGTTCAAGTGATTGATAATTCACATGTTCTCTTTTACAGTTGGAGGGTGGTATATACTTTTATATTATGTTGGAATTCCACCTGTTGGTAAATAGTGAACAAAATAATAATTGTTTAATGACAGTCAGTACTTGTAACTAACTGCTTATCTGTTGTAGCCTAGTGAGCAGCACTGTATGACCCTGGTGGGTTTAGCACTTAGTTCTGATTATGATAATAATGTAGCCTATTGATACTATGGTATTTTGGAAATGTCAACAAAATTGCAGCAATAACCAAATTTGATTAGATCATTCAGCTGTTCTTCACAAGGGTCTTGATACCAGTGAAAGGCTCTTGATCTAAGGAACTGGATTTAGCCCCTCCCCTTCCTTGGATTGAATTTAAATGTCTCCCATTCCTACTAAAAAAAAGTCATGTGGATATTGTAATTATTGCAGGACAACATTACTGCATATATTCAGTTCATTTACTTATTTACAAATAGGAAGCAGTTGGTTGCAACTTGAGACAGTCAGACATCTGGAGTGTTATAAATACAATTGCAACATGAAACTGGATACTCATTATGTTGTTTACCTGGAGTTTACCTGGAAGGAGTTCCGGGGGTCAATGCCCCCGCAGCCCGGTCTATGACCAGGCCTCATGGTGGATCAGGACCTGATCAACCAGGCTTGAATGATATCCATTGGGGTCCTTGAATGATATGCATTGGGGTCATTGAATGATATCCATTGGGGTCACTGAAAGATATCCATTGGGGTCCTTGAATGATATCCATTGGGGTCCTTGAACGATATCTATTTGGGTCCTTGAATGATTTCCATTGGGGTCCTTGAATGATATCCATTGGGGTCCTTGAATGATATCCATTGTTGTCCTTGAATGATATCTATTGGGGTCCTTGAATGATTTCCATTGGGGTCCTTGAATAATATCCATTGGGGTCATTGAATGATTTCCATTGGGGTCCTTGAATGATATCCATTGGGGTCATTGAATGATATCCATTGGGGTCCTTGAATGATATCCATTGGGGTCCTTGAATGATATCCATTGGTGTCCTTGAATGATATCCATTGGGGTCCTTGAATGATATCCATTGGTGTCCTTGAATGATATCCATTGGGGTCCTTGAATGATATCCATTGGGGTCCTTGAATGATATCCATTGGGGCCCTTGAATGATATGCATTGGGGTCATTGAATGATATCCATTGGGGTCACTGAAAGATATCTATTGGGGTCCTTGAATGATATCCATTGGGGTCCTTGAATGATATCCATTGGGTCCTTGAATGATATCTATTGGGGTCCTTGAATATCTCTATTGGGTCCTTGAATATCCAATGGGGTTCTTGAATGATTTCCACTGGAATCCTTGAATATCTATTAGGGTCCTTGAATGGCACAGAAGCCCTCCAAACTTTCCACAGCACTGGTCAACACTCCTCCAGATGGATCGAAAAAACTGGAACCGACCTCCGCATGAATCAGATACATGATCTATGTCAAGTAAGGCAACAGCGGCACTTCTCCGCTCCATGGCGCTGTATAGTCCTTGTGGCTTAGCGCTTCTTTTTTATTATAATAATAATAATAATAATCCACTCCATGGCATATTACCCCATTCCAAACTACCATTCCTCCATTTCCCCCCAAACTACTTAAATCACAACCAAAACTTCTCCTTGAAGCCAAACATGAGGCCTTAATTAAGCTGTATTGATAACTTAGTCACACAGCACACACTCTCGCAAATTATTTACGCTGATGGTTCTGTTCACCAATCCACTGGTGCAGCTGGTAGTGCTACTGTTGTTGTACAGAGTGATGGCTCTCTTCAAGAATTTGGAGCACGCATCAATAATTGGGCCTCTACCCTTCAGACAGAACTGTTTGCCACACTCCTTGCACTGAAATGCATCTATGTATCTAAGATTGACAGTTTAATTGTAACTGATTCTCTGTCATCCATAAATGCTCTCAACTCATTAAGTATAAATTGTGGCATGCTTGTGTCAGAAGCCAGACACAGGTATGGTAAGATTGTGGACAGTGGAGTCAGAGTGCACATGCTGTGGATTCCATCTCACATTGGTCTTCGGATGCATGATAGAACTGATAAATTGGCTAAGCTGTATGCTTTCAAAGAGGGAGTAGATTACAATCTTGGCTTGTCATTCATTCATTCATTCATTAGAGGTTCGCCGGTACTTCCGGCCCGGGTCTTCTCCATATGGTGACCCGGCTATTGGCTTGTCATGTAGTAGTTTGAGAACAATAATACGAAAAGAACTTCAACTGAATTTTATTGACTTAAGACTCGGAGATTGACACCAGTTAGTCCATCTATCATCATTCTATCATGCAGGAGGAGCCACATGTCTATGGTGCATCCAACAAAATAAGCAGACTCTTGGATGTCACTACCGCCCGGCTCCGGCTGGGTTACAAGTATCTTTGGCAGGTTAAATCACCACCACCAGATGTAGACCAAACGAAATGTAAACTTTGCCAGATGGACTATTGTCACACCCTGCGTCAGATTTAGATTTTAGATTTTGCCACCGAAGTGGCTAGTTTATTGTGCACCCCATATCCATCCTGTGGACGGTAGCGCGAGAGCATATGGATACACAAAAGGCCTAGGAACTAGGCCCCAAAGGGTTAACAGGAATACATATGGATTTATATCTACATATCTATAGTTCAGTTATCTGTTACAAGCAAATTTAGGAAATTTGCTTAGTATATCTGGTATCTTATTTTCATTAATAAGATATCTTGACATGTCACATAGGTTATTATACTGTCTGTCTTGTATTCCTCAATAGTGGACAATTAAGCACATAGGTTCAAGGAGTGACCATATGCATGACCACATAATTTACATTAGTTTGATACTCTGTTGTCTCTCAACTGCAGAAGTATGAAACCCAAGCTAAGCTGACATACAACATCAGTCGTATGACAAGCCTAAGCCTGCCACTACAACATCAGTCATATTCTAACCAAGCTAAGTTGGCACTACAACAAGTCAGTACTTGTAACAAGCTAAGTCTGGCCACTACAACATCAGTCAGTACTTGTAACCAAGCCTAAGCCTGGCCACTACAACATCAGTCAGTACTTCTAACCAAGCCTAAGTCTGGCCACTACAACATCAGTCAGTACTTGTAACCAAGCCTAAGTCTGGCCACTACAACATCAGTCAGTACTTGTAACCAAGCCTAAGTCTGGTCACTACAACATCAGTCAGTACTTGTAACCAAGCCTAAGCCTGGCCACTACAACATCAGTCAGTCTGTTCACATTGCAAGTTGCTCCATAAACATACTTATCTATGTTCATGTTATCATAGTGGGTTATAGATCTACTCAGGCTTCTAACTGCATTTCTATAACAATCATTTTCATTATTTGCTTCTCTCCTAATATTATTCATAATGCTAGACACAGTTATACCAAAGTTATATTCTACATTCTCCTTCTGGGTACTCTTCTTGGCTAACATATCAACTTTATCATGAAGGAGTAATCCAATGTGTGATGGGATCCATAGCAATTGTACATTAATTCCTTTGTCCCTAATTTTTGAGTATCTATACCTGGCTTCCCCAATGAGCATGTTGTTGGAGTCATTATATGAGTCAAGAGCCTTCAATGATGACATAGAATCAGTAATGATGATAGAGTCAAGCTCAGCGTCATAGGTTAGCTTTAGCGCCATTAGGATTGCAAACAATTTAGTTTGCAGTGTAGACGCCCAGTTGTTAATTCTTATGTACTGGAGTGCGATAAAATTAATGAATTTAGAAACAACTCACTCAGAAGTGTTCAAG